CTCTGAGGGTGACGGAGCCCTGGCACAGGCTGCCCAGGGAGGCTGTGGAGTCTCCTTCTCTGGAGATATTCAAGACCCGCCTGGACAAGGTCCTGTGCGGCCTGCTGTAGGTGACCCTGCTTCGGCAGGAGGGTTGGACTAGATGACCCACAGAGGTCCCTTCCAACCCCTACTATTCTGTGATTCTGTGATTCTGTGAGAAGGGGCCGGTCACGCTCACAGTGCCTTCTGGAGAGCGAGACCACCTCCAGCGCAGCCCCTTGCTTACAGCAGTCGGGGGAACTGAAGCCGAATTCGCAGAACCGTGTGTACAGATGTGCGCGTGCGACACATTTATACACACACACGTTTATATATAGATGTATGGGGAGGCCAAAGTAAAAATTTAAGACTGATATTTAAAGGAATACCAATGTAGTAGAACGCATCTCAAACTAAGAGTACGCCACTGCAAGTATAAGCTAAAGTAAATTAATGCAGCAATAACAGTAGGGATTTTTAGAACAGCAACCGTGTACAGTTTTTTTAAAAAACAGTATGTGGAAATTGATATTAAGCAGGCATTTTTAAGATATGCAGAAATTAATACTAAGCTGGTATTAGATATTTCACTACTGTGGACACTTTAAATCACATTAACTTGGAATTAATTTTAGATGAACTAGCTAGTTAAAGCTATTTAAAGCTGTAACACTGAGACCTGAACATCTGGATCACGTCGTCAGCTGCCACAGGGCCCAGTGACGGCGGAAGCAGAGGACGGGCAACGCGGTGACGCCGTGACGCAACGCCGGGGCGAAAAACCCGGCCCTCCGCAGGCGTTTCAGCCAGAAAGCCTTTCCGAGACCCACGCAGCTGAGGAGGAGGAGGAAGGATCTTCCACATTTCATCACCACAATTTTTCCATGGATCATTAATAATTTGGACACATGAGAGGGGATTTTGAGGATAATGATCCCACTATGACAGACCTGTATCAATATTCAGGTTTGCCTCCTGCCCTTGGCAATCCCCTCGGCAGTCCTCCTTGCAGACAGGCTAAACCCTGAGACGGGCAGGCACAGACACATCTTAAACTGGAACAGAGAAAGGCAAAGCTAGAAAGAGATATTTGTTTTCAGAATCATAGTAATAGGGCCTTTGCACCACGTTGTTATCGAACAACGTAGCATTTCGATGTGTCTGTATCACAAACACACGCGTACACAGATGCAGCCAAGATTTCTCTAAAACTTCCTTCTCCAAATAACTGAGACCAAAATAAAATTCTTTATCCAAACCCATCACCTATTGTGCCTTTAAATGTTTTCTTTTTCACCCGAATATGTCACAAAAGCTCGAGAAAAACCCCCAAAGTGTAATTTTATGGGTTTTTTTCACTTGAAGAACAGAGAGGGTCACGTTCCCCCCACTCCGGACCGCGTGCGTGCGAGTCTGCGCCAGGGGGGAGAGCTGCGTGCCGGCCCGTCTGCTGCGGCCACGCTAACGCGCGTCTCAATGCGGCAAGAAACCTCAGGGAGCCTCCCCCCGGGCTGCAGCACCGCGTACGGTACAGCGGCGAACGAAAGATTCTTGTTATTCAACTGGCAGCCCTAGCTCCCCGATTCTACCCAAGGAAGAACAGCAATTGTTTTATCCCTAACAGCAGCCGTTAACTTCACTCGGACGGTCCTCCCAGGACCGGGGGCTGTGCAGCCACCGCTGCACCAGCGACCGAACGGGCAGGCCCTGCGACGGGCAGGGGCTGGGCATCTTCCCGCTGCCCTCGGGTACAGCTCCCCGCAGCACGACGGGGAACCGAGGCAGGGCTCACACCCAGCGCCCACCTCGCGGGGCAACGGGAGCGCTCGGCATCTGCCAAGCGGGGTCTTCAGAGAGAGGTAAGCAGCCACATTCACAAATATGGGAGCGCTAGGCGTGCTGGAGTACCAGAAAATTATTTCCTGATCTGAAATTCTTGACCTAGGAAAAAAATTCTTCTAAACACCTTTACTCTGGGCTGCGCGCAAGTTCTACCATAGAAACGACACGCAGAATTATTCTAAAACCATTTGGGATACCACATCGTCACTGCAGGTATTTAAGATAATAATTCAGGGAAATAAAGGATCAAAGCATTAATGATGTTTCATCTAATTACATTAAAACAGCCTTAAGTATAAAATATACAAGATGTCTCTATCACATCATGAAAGATATTGTATCTGATCTGCTATATGTGCTCAAGGAGGAATGGTTTCACCCAGACAGCGAAGCAGCACCAACACCAATTCAGCTAAAAAAAAGTCCATTCTTGCAGTGGTCCAGAATATTTTACGCAAAGCACTTTCAGACAGAGTGTATAAAAAAGGTATAGAGTCTTAAAAATTCTGAAAATCAGAACTGTTAAAAAAAATAAACCTAAGCTCTTAGTTGTCAATTTTTTTTTAAGCCATCAATACCTTGTTTCTTTCGGGAAACAAACACACAAAACACCCCAAATCTTTCGAAAAAAGTATTTTTCATGAATGGTTTTGAAGTTCCTTAAAAAATAATAATAAAAAAAAAAAATCTGTCTTTTACTTGATTCTTCTATAGAACATTTTTTTGTGAGCTCTACTTACTGTTTACCAACATTTTCAAAAATGGAAATTATTATGGATTGTTAAGCAGTCAGAATAAAGATGACTTGTCACAAGGAGCAATAAAAAGCCAGAAATATTGAAAACATTAAACTTGCTAGTTATTTCCTAATTTAGTCTGAAAAATAATAATAAGCACAACGATTTCAGCATCTTAAACAGAAAGCTATACGTAAATCTTAGTTATGCTCTTATTGCTCTCACTCCATTAATGCAAATAGGTGTTAAGTAACTGTTTGATATTTCACTTCAGTGTCAATAAAAAGTTTCCCCATTTTAAGGAACACCACAGACCGGCAGGCACCCCAGCAGCACAGAGCAGAGCCTGCCCACCCCAGCCAGCTCCCTCCAGCCGGCTACGCCAACGCGTTCTGCTACAGCTCCCAAGAGACCAGCCCGTCTGTGTCACCGGCCTAACCACGAAATACGCAGTTTCAGTTTCTGCCCCCTAAAAAAACCCAAAGGAGGATATTATTTTTGCGTGTTTTGACAAAATTCTCTACCTGGTCTCATGCTTCGCAGAAATGGCCACGCTGCTGCTCTTCAACCCACTCACACGCGCCCGTGCTGCGGCCCCGCTTCACGGCAGCAGACTTCTGCCATGTGCCAAGTATAGCTCCTGAATTTTATTTCTTGTCGTAGCTGTCACAGCCCTTTATTTTTCTTCCTTTGCTTTTTATGTAGAAAAACAATCCATCACAGAGGCAGTGTTATTCCTTAAACCCTGAGGAAACCAAGGAGCCAGGAAAAGCCCAGACGCTTTCCACCCAGTGGAAGATGTTCCAGCTTCTACACTGAAAACTGAAATCAGCCTCTCGCCCGTTCAGGGGGTGCCTCCAAGCCACGGAGCACCGGCCAAGCCAACGTTCTCCCATGCTCACCCCCGGTTCTGCTGGCGACTCGCCATCGGGCAGGAGTCCAAGGGCCTGCAGACCGCAGGGAGCTGGAGCCTGGCGCTCAGGCTCAAGAAGAACGGTTTCCACTCACGAGCGGGAAGCTGCCTGTCCTGAGAAAGGCACCTCCTGGCACAACTGACCGGCCTAACTCTATCACCCTGGAAATTTCCAGGTTTGGGTGTGAAAATTGAGGTCAGATGCCAAAAGGGTTAAGCCTGAAGCCCTAGGGCAGCTTAGGGCTTGGGTTTAGATGTTTGAGTTCCAACCTAGGTGGCCACGTGCGAAGCAGAAGCCTCTACAGAGAACCATACCAACGCACGGCGAGACGGGCTGTACTGCTCAGCTGTCCCATTCACCTGAGCAGTTCAGGGTAAGCATTTCCAGAAGCACCTGGGCGTTACAGTGCGATAACAAAACCAAAGGCACCCAGACCAGTGAGTGACAGATGATCTTAGCGAGGTATGAACCTCACGGCCCATGTTTGTCCAAGGACAGACCCAAACACACCAGACTGTGCCGCCCTCCTTCACAGCTGGGGAGCAAACAACCAAGTCAGAGGAGCGTGCTTCTCCGCGCGATAGTTATAGGCAGACCATAGACAGAACTCCCTGAAAAGAAATACACTAATAAAAGCTTGAAGAAGTAGCCTCTCCAAAATTATTATTGCATGTTATTCTCAGTATGAAAATATGGGACATTCTAGACTTAAGTTCTGCAGGATTTTCTCTTTTTTGTTTTCTTAACCCAGTCAACGCTTCCTTTCATATTAAGTCAGTCCTCTTTTACAGGAATATATTTAAACCACATTCTTGGTAATTATTTTTTTCTATAAACATTGCCAAACTGACATTTTCCCCCACTTTTCAGAACTTCTGAAGAGTGAAGTTGTTCCGTTGATTTCTCCAGTCACCAAGAACACGGATATTTAATCGCCACTCTGCGTGCAGCCATACGCAACAACAACATCAGGCTGAAAACCACTTCAAGTCATACCTCATCACAGTGAAAATCACATTACTGATTCATCTGGGCAGCACACAAACCAATCTAATAGTCAATCAAAAACATTTCCAAAAGACATCATTTTGTTAAACTATCCGTTCAGCTTTCACAGACATTTTCCCTTTTTTCCTCTAATCCTCGTTTTGTATTTCTTATTTCAACTCCTTTGAGGAAGCAGTTCTAAACGCGGCTTTTACTCCAGAATGAGTACTTGAAATAACATTTACAGTCTTCTCTGTTCTTAATACCAGTATCTGAACTATATAAAAATGGCAGTTTAATTCTGAAATTTATATGTAAAAAATAAAATCTTTATGCATTCTTAGAATACTTAAAATTGTTTCTGGAATATGATCAGTTATATAGAACCCAGCAATAAAAAGAACAGCAATAAAAAAGGCAAAGAATTGGTTTGAATCGGACGCCATGATTAAAAGACTGAAAATAGAAGGCAGAGGAGCTGGGAACGGCTCACACCAACCTGAGCCCGTAGAGGACCGTCCCGTCCGGGTGCAAACGGATCATTCTGTTCTTCACGGTGACGCCGTGCACGAAGGACTTCTTGTCGTTCAGGAAGTAGGTATCGGGGACCCACAGCTGATCCGCCACCCTGTTGTCCAGGGTCAGGTTCAAAGGTATGACGTTGTACGACAGCCTCTTATCCCTCCACGCCTGCTGAAAGTACATGGTCAAGGTGTAGTCCTGGGATTGGGAACACAAAACAGAGTTTGCACTGAAACAGACAGCTCACAGACAGGCAAAACCAAAGCAAACCCACCTTTATTCCTTGCGACTGTTCTCAAAGGCAAACATTTCTGTTCAGACTCCCATACGTAGATTTATTTATTTTTACAGTACCGACCATCTTGCGTATACTTAATAACAGAAATGATGTTACAGAAAAGATGGGGTATTTGCATTTTATGAATTACTTGGGAGTCTCATTTCAATATTTCAAAACAGAATGGAAAAATGCTTCTAGACGCTCCACAGCCTGCAGTTCCCGCAGCTCTTCCCAAGCCTGGGAGCTCCAGAAGCAGGAGCATTCCCAGAGCGGAATTCCACCTCAGGTCCCCACCGCCTTCAGCGGAGCTGAGGACCAGGCCTTGGGTCTCAGCAGCTCCCACCCGAACCCTCCTCCGAACTAAACTCCCTTCCAAGGCTGGTGACTTTCTCCTGGGCTCCGAAATCCACGGGAAGCCTCTGTGGTTTCTATGCTGCAGTCTCAGTCTCCTACTTCATTTTACAGCCGAGCCAACCGTGGCTCCCGCACTGGCACAATGCAGAGAGCACCATTGAGCATCTGGGTAAACGTCCGCAGCGTGATGAGACTTGCTTGTCTTGGTGCAGGCCACTAACGTACAGCACTGTGGAGATGTTCTGATCTTTTGGTCTTTCAGAGAACAATATGGTTACAAAAACTACTGAAACTATGTTATTATTACACTAGGCAAAGAAATATTAATCCTCCTCCTGCAAAAAGCACCTGTCAGAACTGGTTTTTACAAGCATTTTTGTTTAAAAAAAAAATTGATTCGCAAACACGATACAGAAATTCTCGCAAAATACAAAAATAAAACTTTATTTCACAGTTTCACAAACCAAACTTTCAGAAAAATCTACAAAAATGCCCCTGTAAGAAATCACTGAAGCCTACTTCAACAAAAAAAAAGCTTTACATTTCTAGAAATTATCTTTTTACAGGACAGCCTAGGACTTGACAAACGCCAAATCTCACAACAGGGACGCGGAAGAGTTACCTTCACAGAATCACAGAATAGTAGGGGTTGGAAGGGACCTCTGTGGGTCATCCAGTCCAACCCTCCTGCCCAAGCAGGGTCACCTACAGCAGGCTGCACAGGATCTTGTCCAGGCGGGTCTGGAATATCTCCAGAGAAGGAGACTCCACAACCTCCCTGGGCAGCCTGTTCCAGGGCTCCGTCACCCTCAGAGGGAAGAAGTTC